ATCCAATTTTTATAGTAAAAATGTGAAATAAGAACCCTTCCCAATTTCACTAACACCCCAGAATTGTCATTACAAAATAATTATTACAGATCGGAATTCGATGTAATAAGTTACAAAGTGCGTATAACTATAGGGAGCCTATAGCAGGCCCAAATATACCTGGACAGGCTAGGCCTTCAAATCACAATAGCTCCAGAAGCCCATGTTCATAGATACAATATGACCAGTGGTGAGCGACTTACCCATGTATCAAAGCTGAGCATACAAAACCCAAATCCTTAGTGTGTCCCATGTATCAAAGCTGAGCATACAAAACCCAAATCCTTAGTATGTCCCATGTATCAAAGCTGAGCATACAAAACCCAAATCCTTAGTGTGTCAGAGTTCCTAAGGGCTTCAAGAACCCAGGGCAGTGCTCACACCAGGGAAATTCACATAGATTAGAAATAGTTCAAGGAAGACTAGGGACCAAATCCTAGTGTGTCAGCGTTCACAAGGGTCTCACATGAACCCTGAGCAGTGCTCACACTAGGGAGGCCAGAGGACAAAACCTAAATAGCTTTGGCTCAGCCAACTTAGAATGAGGATTCAGAAGGATCCAATAGTAAAGGAATAAGAGGGAGTAGAATGGATTAGGGAATTCATTTAAGGACATAATCACATATAGAACATGTACAAAATAGCAAACACATTTGAACCTAAGCATACTTAATCTAGTTTTAAAAATCAATCACATGCTAGTTCATAAGCAGATTAATGATGATAATAAAGATTTTAGATCAGACTAAGTCATAGAAAGGGAACACATTGATTAATAGTAAGTCAGGAATTGATTAAGATAGTTCAAGAGAGGTATCATAACATAGAGAGAACAGAACCAGACAGTCCATGTTATAACAGGTTCAACAAACGAACTTATAAATCTGTTAAGGTACACCTCTATGCATGGCTAACTAGTCTTTAGGGTAAGGTATGAAAGCATGCTTATAACAAACTTGAATCTAAAAGACAGACCTCAATAACACAGAGTTAGGGAGATTTCATTAGTCAATTCAAACTAAGTTCAACATGTCTTAACTACAAGTAATGGCATCTAGGATAACACGGTTTAATAGCAGTAACACAATGAACAAAATGAAATGGCAGAGGATTCAATGACTCACCAGTTAAGATGAAATAGGGAAGAAAGGAATCCAACAGTCTAGCAAATAGCACCAAAAGGAAGCAAAGACTTGAAGATTTCTGGCCTTGGCTTTCAGCCGGCCAAAACCAAACAATGAGCATAGAATCAGAGTGAAAGAACCAAGTTTCTAGTGAGAGTATGAGAGTTCGAGTCTTGTACTTAAGGGGAAAGGGGAGAGGGGTTTAAATAGTGTTCAATTAAGTGAACTAATAAGGGAAGTAATCGAACACACATAAACAAGGGAAGAAAATAATCACAGAATCAATTGAAGTCTCATTTAGGGACAAATAGTACAGAGCTCAGTTAATTAACTAGGCATAATAGCGTGTGATCAGGTGAGTAACACTTAAAATAAGGAAGATATCAATTAACAAACAGTTTCAAGGCAAAATAAGGTAAAGAAATAAAGGAAACATGGTAGATTGAACAAAATAAGGGAAATATCAGTCCCGTATGAGAAAGGAAAGAGTATCAACAAATCAGTAAAAGTTCCGAACCCTAGTTTTAAGGAAAGCCATAGTACCAGAATATACACAAATGCAATAACATAAGATGAATATAGACCCAAATAGCACTAAAAATCAAAGAGTCAAACTAATTTTGGTCTGATTTAAGAAAATCTGAGAACCCTAAGTTTAGGGTAAGTAAAAATTAGTCAGAAAGATCTATGAAAAATCATATAGAGATGCACATAGATAGATACACGAAAACATTACAGAAGATATTCCACTAAAATAGAACCAGAACATATATTAAAAGATCTGAGCCCTAATTTTAGGGTCAAATAAATTAGGCGGAAAAGTTTTTAACAAAAATCGTGAAAAATATTCATAGATAGACATGCGGAAACATAGATGATATTTTTAACAAAAATAAGAATGAAATATTAACAGATCTTAAAAGATATAAACCCCAACTTTAGAGTAAACAAAGACTAAAGAAAATCTCGGAGATTCGTACTCGAAAAGGCGAAGAATGATCATAGATGAAGAAAGGAGAAAGATTCGAACACGATTTGGTCCAAAAATAGGGAAATCAGCTTGCCATATTAGGCAAGCTATTAGGTTATACCATAATCGAGTAGCCAGTAGCGAGATAGGACCAATAAGGTAAGAAAATCATCAAGGGATTCCATATCCGGTTGGAATCGAAGAAGGAAATTAGGTGACGGCGGATTAGGGTTTGACAGAGACGGAGAGGCGTTGGGAGAGTTTAAGGGCGCGCGGGTTGAGTGAGATTGGGTAGGGTTTTTGGGGTTGGGTTAATAAGAAAAGGGGGGAAAGGATGGTGGCCGTTGATCTTGAGAGATCAACGGCTGGGGTAAAAACTATGGATGGGGCGGGTTGTTTAGGAGCGGGTCGCGACCGGGTTATGGGTTAGGGGTTGTTTGGTTTGGGCTATGGCGGACTGGGCTAGTTTTTAAGTAGTTGGGCTGGGTAATTGGGTTGGTTTGGGTAGCCTAGTTCCGATTTTAAACAAAATGGGGCTAAATTTAAATACACACTTTTAATTAATAAAATAATTTGTAAAAAATGATAAATGAAATAGTAAAATTATCATTTGTGCCTGAAATGATTAATGAAAATTATTTATCCTTATAAAAATATAAAGTTATTTTTTGCAAAAACAAAGTAATTATAAGTATATACGGGCTATTATTGCAAAATGTGCAATTTTAATCTAAAAAATGCAAATGTAATTGGGTAAAATATTTAAACACTATACAGGCATAAATGATGAATTTAGATGATTAAATCATCTTAAAAATATGAGGGATAATTATTGAATATTTGTACAATAAAAATACTGAAATAAATTGATTTAAAGCCTTTAAACTTATAGAAAAATAATAAAAACACTTGTGCATGTTTGTAAATCTAACAATAATGCATGTGCACTATTTTAAAAATATATATGCATATTCAAAATATATGAGGGAAAAATTGGGTATCACCAGCAGCCACAGAGGCAACCAAATTTTTTTAACAAATTCGAGGGCCTCCAACAGGAGCGTGCCGAGGATTTAGCCTACAGGGCACAAGAGGTAGACAGGGTGGCTGCCATGCAACAAACTATAGATAACTTGACAGGCCAGCTCAATGTTGTCAATGCTGCTTTACAAGGCCTGCTTCGAGGAGGCAGAAACCAAATCGGGGGTGCTGTGAACCTCGCTCCCGCGACACAAAAATTAAAAATTCCTGAGCCAAAGCCATATAGTGGAGCTCGGAATGCCAAAGAACTGGAAAACTTCATCTTTGACATCGAACAGTACTTCGATGCCGTGGGGGTCCTAGAAGAAGCTAAGAAGGTAGCAACTGCTGCCTTGTATCTTCAGGGTGATGTTAAACTCTGGTGGCGGGTGAAGTACGAAGCCATCAGGGCCACTAAAGATGCTCTCGAGACATGGGTTGAACTGGAGGCAGCCATACGCGGACAGTTCTTCCCCAAAAATGTTGAATACAACACAAGGAGGAAGCTATAGGAGCTCCGCCAAACCAAATCAGTGTGGGACTACGTGCGGGAATTCTCCGCACTCATGCTGAACATATGTGACATGGGGGACAAAGACAAGATCTTCACCTTCTTGGAAGGGTTGAAACCTTATGCCTGTATGGAGCTGCAAAGATAAAGGGTAGATACCCTACCAAGGCGATCCAAGCAGCTGAATGCTTTGGGGACTATCAAGTGGAAGCTTGGAAGGATAGGCCTCAACCGCCTGCCCGAATGGGATACAATGGGGGCCAGCCTAGCAGTGGTGGCCCTAGCAAAGTGGAGGAGATCGGAGTGCAACCAAAACTAAGGCTCCCTCCTCAGGTAGCAATAGTGCTGTGTCAAACAACAATGATTGGGGGAGAAAGCCCCCTTCAGGATGTCGTTATTGCGTCGGACCATATTGGAATAATGAATGCTCACATACACAGATGAACGCCCATCAAGCTTTTGATGATAGGATAGATGACGACACCGATGATGCGGACCAGACCGAACCAGTAGGTGTTTTCAATGCAATTGTTGGCTCTATTTCTGAGGCCTTAGTGGAAACTAGTGCTGGTATTCATAAAAAGAAGGACCACTGTCCAATCACAAAGAAAGGGAAAAAGAAGGCGGATGAGAGGACACTTCTTAAATAAGAGAGGACCTTAATGTTCGTCGAGATGAAGGTAAATGGCAAGCCCATTCGGGCGATGATAGACACGGGAGCTACCCATAACTACTTAGCCTCGACTCAGGTGGAGCACCTTGGTATAGTTGAAGGAAAGGGTAGAGGTCATGTCAAGGCTATCAACTGACCTCCTCAGCCAGTGGGTGGAATAGCCAAAGAGGTACCAGTGAAGCTTGTCCCTTACGAAGGAAAATTCAACCTGCAAGTAGTGATCATATATGACTTCGAGTTGATAGTTGGGTTGGAATTCCTAAGGCAAACATACACCATGCCTGTACCGTTTGCAGACATGCTACTGATGATGGGAGCAAATGGGGCCAAGCCCTGCATAATCCCGTGCATGCCTATGAAGATGGCTGCTGAGAATATCTCGGCTTTGCAGTTGAAGAAGGGGGTCAAAAAACATGAACCTACGTTCCTGGCAACCCTCTGCATTGAAGATATAGAACGCTCTTCGGGTCCCATTCCCGCACTTGTGAAGGAGCTTCTACTGGAGTTTGAAGATGTAATGCCACAAGACATGCCAAAGCGGCTTCCACCTAGGCGCACTGTGGACCATGAAATTGAGTTGGTGCCCGGCGCGAAGCCACCTGCCCGAGCGCCTTACAGAATGTCACAATCGAACTCGCTGAGCTTCGGAGACAGTTGACGAAAATGCTAGACACAGGGATCATTGTGCCCTTCAAGTCCCCATACGGGTCCCCTGTGCTATTCCAAAAGAAACATGATGGCAGCCTACAATTCTGTGTGGACTATCGGGCTCTAAACAAAATCACCGTGAAGAACAAGTATCCTATTTCGCTAATGGCAGACTTGTTCGATAGACTGGGTGGTGCGACGGTGTTCACCAAGATAGACCTGAAGACCGGTTATTGGAAAGTTCGGATTGCAGAGGGCGATGAGCACAAGACGACTTGTGTGACAAGATATGGGTCGTATGACGTCCTGGTTATGCCGTTTGGCTTAGCTAACGCTCCAACCACTTTTTGCACCCTAATGAACCAAGTCTTCCGAGAGTACATTGACAAAATCGTGGTGGTCTACTTGGATGACATTGTGGTATATAGCCAAACACTTGAAGAACACTTGGAGCACTTGCGGAAGGTCATAGCTCGATTGCGGGAGCACGAACTATATATGAAGCTGTCCAAGTGCTCCTTTGCTCAAAAATAGATTGACTTCCTCGGACATGTCATCGAGGAAGGGCGGATCAAGATGGACTGACAGAAGATTCAGGCTATCACAGATTGGCCGCCGCTTAAGGATATCCACGCCTTGAGGGCGTTCCTTGGCCTATGCAACTTCTATCAGCGATTTGTGAAAAATTACTCCCCCATTGCAGTGCCATTGACAGAACTCTTCAAGAAGGTCACACCTTGGAATTGGGGACCCAGGCGAGCGGAGGCCTTCAACGCATTGAATACGGCTATGTCTAGTAGCCCCATCTTGGCCCTCCCCTGATTTGGCCAAGCCATTCGAGGTACAAAAGGATGCCTCCAAGACTATGCCTTTGGCGGAGTCTTGCTACAAGAAGGGAATCCTATAGCGTACGAGAGCCGGAAATTGAAGGATGCAGGGGGCGCTATGCCACCTATGAGAAAGAATTATTGGCTGTCGTCCATTGCTTACGCCTTTGGAGGCACTATCTGCTGGGAACCCCGTTCGTGGTCAAGACAGACAACACAGTTGTTCGCCATTTCATCACCCAACCGAAGCTGAATGGTCGACATGCCAGGTGGTAGGAACTCCTAGCTGAATTCCACTTCAACCTGGAGTACCAAAGTGGGAAGACCAATCATGTTGCTGATGCGCTCAGTCGGAGAGCTGATCTAGCATCGGTGTGTGACGAGTGTCTAGCGTATATAAAATTCTATCTCGTACTCTGTCAAATAATAGTATAGAAAGATGTCGAACCCACAGAGATTGGTTTATCTATTCTATAGACGTTTCTTGTTTTAATTACTTTTTGAGAAAATTAGAAAGAGTTGAGTTGCAAATTAAATAACTAAAAATGCATGAATAGAGCAATAGAAAATATTTTGTTTTTCACAAATATAAAAAGGTGTTGGGATCCTGACTTCACTTAATATTTTTATTATATAGTAGATACATTTATCCTTCAAACTTCTATTTCTCATAAATGTATAAATGCCTCTCACGATTACATTTATATATTATTACTCTAGTTGAACAATTAAATGCACTCCTCTCGATTATACAAATTAATCGTTAAAATGGTAATATTAAAGAACCAGAAATATATACTTGAACTAAAGCATGCTCTTTTTCAGTAAGTCCCTTTCGGTTACCCTACTTGTTATAACTGATTACTACAATATTCGCCTCTTTCGATTACAAATAAGTGTAGAATCAATTTTAACATATATGAGCTAGATGTCACTAAATATAGGTTAACATCTATCAATAACAAAATTAAGTATTACTTCTTCTGCCTCTTTCGATTACAAAATTAGTAAGAAGTTAATATATAGTACGAAATAGATAAATGTTAATAAATTAAATAACACCTAACTATAAAGCAGACAAAATTTAAATAAAAAGCTTCAGCTCAAGCATGTAAAATTGAAGAATAATATCTACTATTATATAAAATATTAAGATCCGTCATTTTCCCAACACAAGAAAAGTTACTCCATACTGGAGCTAGTATTGCTAATGAAAATATTCTTGTCCATTAGATAAGAAAATAGTAAGAAATATTCAGAAAGAATAATTCCCCCTATTCAATTAAAAGCAGGATATAGAGTAATTTTCAAAGCTAAAATTTATTAGGAACTAGAAACAAAAGCCACTGTAATGACTGGGCAGAAATTTAATAAAATGAACAACTGACTGAAATGAAAAGGAAAAGGTCTGAAATGGATTCAGTTATCTGCTGAGCTCTCCTTCTCTCGATGCCCTTTTTCCGAATTTCTGAGACGTCCATTTTATAACCACTCCATAACTAGTTATGCTTTGGTTATGAGTTTTGTTATGGGTTGATTATGGATCTTGGTTATGGATCAGTTATGGGTCTGTTATGAAAGTCCCTTTGTATATTGTCTTCTTTGTGCCTTGTTTATTTACTCCATCACAGCTTACTTTTCTCCTTTGGTGCGCTATTTCTTAAAATCTTCCTTGATTCTGCATCACTTGCTTTGCAATCTTTCCTACATAATTTACTAAAAGTTAGGGAAGAATATGATAATTTCTTTATTTTTACAAAGAAAATTATATATTAAAAATCAAGTAAAATATACTTATCAAATTCTCCCTCACTTAAACATTTGCTCGTCTTCGAGGAAAGACTACATTTTTTTTTTAAAATTTGAATATAAATTTATACACTCATAACTTAGCAAAAACTAATGACTTCACTTAGAGATTTTAGTTCCTTTGAACTTTGTATAACTTGCTTTGTTTATATTTCCATTTTTACTCTGCAAGTATCACTGATAGTCATCTTTGTATTTAAATAGAATCAAGGCTTCGTGAAATTAATTATTTTGTAACGACCCGGCCGGTCGTTTTTGGAATTTACGTCCCGATCCCCCATTAACTGCTTCCCTTAAGTTTATTTCTGCTATTTTGGTATGCCGGGACGTTCGGTGTTAAGTTTTGGAGAGTTTTGGGACACTTGGTCCCTAAATGAGAGCTTAAGTGTTGAAAAATGGTCCGTAATCGGAACAGTGTGAAGACAACCTCGGAATGGAAATTCAATGGTTCTGTTAGCTTCGTTAGGTGATTTCGGGGTTGGGAGCGTGTTCGGAATTATTTTGGAAGTCCGTAGCTTATTTAGGCTTGAAATGCCGAAGTTTGAATTTTTGAAGTTTCCGGTCCAATAGTGAGTTTTTGATCCGAGGGTCGGATTGGAATTCCGGAAGTTACAACAGTTCTGTCATGTCATTTGGGATGTGTGTGCAAAATTTCAGGTCATTCAGACGAGGTTCGGGTAGGTTTTTGATCGAAAGCGTGTTTTGTTGGAAATTGAAGTTCCTAGGCTTGAATCCTTGATTTAATCGGGTTTCCGGTGTTGTTTTAGGTGTTTTTAAGATTTGTACAAGTTTGAATAAGGTATTAGGTGGTATTGGTGCTTTTGGTTGAGGTCCCGGGGGCCTCGGAATGATTTCGGGTGGTTAACAGAAGAAGTTTGGAAGTTAAGAGGTAGTAGTTCTGCTGCTTCTGGTATCTTTTCGCTTCTGCGGCTTGGGAACCGCAGAAGCGGAGCCGCAAGATTTTTGGTCACCTTCCAGGAAACCGCAGAAGCGGTAGGAATTTCGCAGAAGCGGATCCGCTTCTGCGAGATGGGAACCGCAGGAGCGGAAGCTGGGATTTTAAAGGAAGCCGCAGAAGTGGCCAGTGTTCCGCAAAAGCGGGACCGCAGAAGCAGGCACTTGTCCGCAGAAGCGGAAATCCATGGGCAGAAATAGAAATGTCGAGAGTTTAATTTCATAAGTTAGCAAAATCAATTGAGAGCTCGGTTTAAGGAGATTTTGAGTGGGGTTTGAAGTGAAGATCACTGGGTAATGTTTCTTTGGTCCCTTCTTGTTATATTTCATCATTATATAGTTAAATACATCATCGGAATTCGAATTTAGGATCAAAAATTGGATAATTTGGGGTAATACTTCATTACCTAAATTATTGAGTTTTGAGTAGGCATTTGACCTCCGTTTTGGGAGATTTTTATATGGTTAGACTCGTCAGGGTACGAGGGTTCTAAAAATGTGAAAATTATTCGATTCCGAGGCGTTGGCCTGAAGGGCATTTTGGTCATTTCACCTAATTTCACGCCGTAGCTTTGAATTTAATAGCAAAACCAGGTGTTTGCGATGTTATTTACAATGTGTAATTGAATTGAATAGATTTGGGCCATTTGGAGTCGGATACTCGCGGCAAGAGCGTGGTTTCTAGTTGATATTGAGCCGGTTCGAGGTAAGTGGCTTGTCTAACTTTGTGTGGGGGACCTTTTCCCCTTAGGTTAGATCTTGAATATCTGAATGCCCCGTACGTGAGGTGACGAGCGCGTACTTGAGCTAATTGTTGTAAATCCGTTTCTACTTGAAGTATTTAAATTGAGATTTCTTGTTTACTTGTTCATTTTAACTGTAAGTTTGTACCTGTTCTAGCTTAGAGACTTATGTTTAGCTGGCTTACTTGTTTATTTGCTTTAACTGTGCTATTTGTACTCTGTGAAGCATGTTAGGCTATAATTTACTACTTCATGTCCTGAATTTTTTTAGCATTGTTCCGAGATTTATGAATCGTTGTTGTTGTGTGTTTAATTTGGGACTACGGGACGGCTTCCCGGGAGATCCCCCTGTACTTGAGATATTCTGGACTGAGGGTGCGGGATACCAAGAGATCCCTGGCACATGTGTTTCTATATATATATATATATATATATATATATATTGGAATACCAAGAGATCCCCGGTTTACTTATTGAGAATACCAAGAGATCCTCGGGATACCAAAAGATCCCTGACTTACTTATTGAGGATACTAAGAGATCCTCGGGATACCGAGAGATCCCAGTGTTGATGATGAGGATATCAAGAGATCCTCGGGATACCAAGAGATCCCCCGGCTACTATTCCTTGTTGAGGGCAGTTTTCCGTGTATTGTTACCTTTGCTTTCTATTACTATTCTTCCTTATTTACCTGGTTTAGATTCTCGCTGTAGACTTTATTTAAACTATTTCTGTTATCTCATTATTTATTATGTTATCTCAGTAGGGCCCTGACCTTCCTCGTTACTACCCAACCGAGGTTAAGCTTGGCACTTACTGAGTACCGTTGTGGTGTACTCATGCCCTTCCTACGCATGTTTTTCATGTGCAGATCCAGGTACTTCCTCCCAGACGTATCATCCTCGTGGTGGAGAGTCTTAGATGAGACTTGAGGTATATTTGCTACGTTCGCAGACTAGGAGTCTCTACTCTATTCCGGCTTTAGCAGATAGTTCCTTTTCTTTCCTTTCATGTTGTTTAGACATTCTGGTGTAGAACAGTTTACTACATTCTATTAGCCTGTGTTTCCCGTGAGTTTTCGGGTTTTGGGATTTAGTTGTAGACTTCCGCATATTTTGAGTTGTATAGGCCGAGTGGCCTTATATACAGTTGTTATTTCTGTATGTTCAGTTTTAATTAATTATCCCGCAAATGTTAAAT